AACGAAACGAAACGGTATGGAACGAAATGACATAAATTTTAATAAAAAAATAAAATAAATTTGGCTTTAAATTTTAAGCAGTAAAAAACAAGCGAATGGAATATTTCAACTGTTTCTGTTCACCTTTCCACGGTACTTTAACGCCACTTTAAGCCGCCGCTCCTGCCACATTTTGTGTGTTTTGTGTGACATTACGATGGTGGATGCTCAAAAAGCATAAACACCAAATTTTAGCCGCTTTTATGCACTTCAATTTCAATTGGTTTCGAAAAAGGCGACAGCGGATAAAAAATGATGTTTAGCGCAAAGCGACGTAGTCTGCTCTCAACGATGAATAATCCCAAGCACATCGAATAACACTATGGCAACCACGCATTGCCGCCGCACTTGGCCGCGTCTGAACATGCCCACCAAACAACACATTTCGCGTTAAAAATTCATAGCCACAAAATTATTTAAGGTTGCCTGGACGGGCGCGTAGTATCCGAAACAGCAGCAGCAGCAACACACCTTGGCATTAATATTTAATCAGTTGGCCGTCGCTGTTGCTGCCGTTATACTCAACGCCATTCAAAACAGCATTTGACTTCTTTAGTCAGCCGACTTGTGCTATTAAGTTATGCCAAAATATCTTCGTTGCCATACTTTTTTCTATCCCAATCTCCTTCACGCTCACCGATCGAGCCCCAATTGTGCCGTTAAGTTGTTGCGGCCGCTGCCAAAGTGACACTTTTTATCGCCTCACCTCCTTCCTAAAAAAAAACTTAGTATGCTCTTTGTGGCTGGCCGTGTTCACATAGTTATAGCCACGAATGGCCTCTGTGATTGTGTGTAAATGTGTATTTCGTACATGTGTGTGGTATCTAATACTTGCAGTTACATATATCCACATTCCTTTAACTTCCAGCATTTGACTGCAAACTGCCATTTTCGGAAATGTGCCAAAACAGTTTGAATGCGAATATTAATTTTTAAAATAATGGTTTTCGTCTTGAAAGTACATATTCAATTTCTTTTTCGATGTAGCATTGGGTTTGCTTTGCTGCTAAGGATTACAGCACTCACATACGTTGTGCAGTCACGATTTTATCCTCTGACACGTAAGTTTGTATGTACTTGTGTCGATTTAGTTGATTTTGTCGTTTTGTTGAACCCTTTAAAGTTGATTGAGTCATTTATGTATGTTTTGGCAAATGTCCATTTAATAAAAAGTGCAAATTGGATGGCTAACAGCCACATTAAATTTAATAGCAATTTTCAATTTATTATTAAAATTGTGAATGAAGAAATGAACTGCATTACATGTTGTTTATTATAAAATGTAATTAAGAAATACCAAGTGAGTCCGATCGGATAGCGATATTGCTCTAAAACGAGCCCCCTGAAAAGTTTCCAAACCAAGAAACGGAGCAGTGAGAGACAAGCCAGCGCTGGGATAGAAACTGTACTCCCACGGCCGAGACAACACTGCCTCGTCAGAATGCTGCAAAGATCGCGAAGCCATTATATTTCAGGGACGCACTGTGCGAGTTGAAGCTAAGTAACTGTTTGGTAGACGAATGTGCTGAGAGCCATCCAATATGCCGTACTTAGAGCGGTCAAGTACAACCGGGTTAGTGCTGTAAAGCCTTTCTTCGATGGTTGCTCTTTACGACCGGAATTGCTATTCATAATTTCAAGAGCTACTGCAACCGTGGGGTGGATATGGGAGACAATCCCAAAGCTTACTTCTGCCGATGAACCTATTACGCCCATTGTAGTTTAGCTTCAAAATTTTGTGGATGGATAGCGTTGGACTTAATACTCGGCCCGGAACCTCTCGAATGCAAGCTACGACAGAAAAGCACACATCAAAACGCTAGATTACACTGACTTCGTTGGATACATCGATGAAATAACCGCAGTGGTCACTACGCGAAACACAACAGAAGCCTGCAGGTGTAAGACTTGATGTTAGGCTACAATTCGCTGTAAAAGTAAAGTACGCCCGGAGAAATTCCACAAGGACCGCTAACGCATTGAGTAGATTAATGACAATAATCGGCGAACCAACACAAAACGAAAGGAAACTTTTACCTTCTGGCCACTACACTTTCGGTACTATTGTACCAAGCTGATATATGGGTCAGCATCCCAAATACAGGACATAACACGAGAATTATATCCTCCATCCAGCAAACGGGTCACCTCTGCATGCTGAACAATGTCCGAGCCCGCCGCTGAAATCACAAGCGACAGGACAGCCACAAACAGGTCTTTGAAACCTCAGAAACTAGAATAGAACCAGAAATGCATACGCATACGCCCAAGAGGCAAGAAACAAAACTCTGTATCCTCGTATAGTTGCAAGAGCAGTGGGATAGCGAAAAATGCGGCAGACGAATGGCTAGACTTATACCAATACTAGAACATTTAGAGAAGTTTTATGGAAGTCTTACGTGGACCAAAAGAACTCCAAAGCCTTAATAGCGTTCTGGCAATGTAAACGAGTCTTTTGAAATGCTGTGGAATTGCACTTCTATAATAAGACCCATAATCAGCTACTCGTCTGTGGTGTGGTGGAGTAGAATCTCAATAAAAAGTGTGGGATGAAATAACTCAGATTTTCTGGATGCTAAATCTACGGTCAGCTAATATTTTTATCCGCAGGGAGGCCTTTGTTGAGAAGATATTATTAATGTCGAATTTCCTGAGGCTGAGTGCTGGCTTTACCCCAATACTGAGCCGGGCTTGCACATTGTAGAATCTTTAATTATGGCTTCTGAAGCCCAACGGCGTTAATCTGCACTTCTTTTTTTGGGAAACATGGCTTGGTATCTCAAGCCGAGGTATTTGCAATTCTCACTGTAATGTATTAAGTTGTGGAAAATAGGTTGAGAAGCAAGAGTTTACGCATTTGTAGTGACAGCCATGCTGCACTTCCAAACTGGTTCGGAAATGCAAGTCTCGGCTAAATTATGTTGGAAAACATAAGAAACTTGTTTTTCTCTGGTTTCTAGGTCGCTCTGGAGTACCTGGTGATGACCATTTGGCCAGTCTTGGCGTAGACCAAGCATTTCTAACTTTTTTAGGCAGCCATGACAACCCCATTTGCCTTTCCCGCCTTTAAGAGGATGAGATGGCGGAACACTTTCGATGTCTCTGCCCCGCCTACCTGAGTTTTTTAATCTAATAAACCGCTCAGATTTATTCTTACATCAAAACGATTTAAAACAGATTAAAAGGGTAACACGGGACCGGTGCGCAGATACATACCCCAATGGGAGCTTAGTAAATGCGAAATATTGAAAGCCACTTTAAAGATATGCGAAAATAGTTACAAGGTGGGCACAAAAAGGACAAAGTCAGTACGTTGTTGTTCTTATAGTTGTATTGGCATTACCTAGCCCTACCTAGATCGGATAACTTAACACGGTGCGTGTCATTAATAGCCTAGCTGCTCAGCGTTGGGTCCAATGGTTTATTGGTGCATGTCTGGATCTCATCCGTGAGTTCGTATAAATATCGTCTGACATACCCAGAAGGTGGTTCAGCTTCAGACATTTCAGTGATTGTCCGCGGTGCGGTGTTTTGACAGGTCGCTGAGACTATGTTCAGTGCTTTCAACTAGTTTGCGATGAGGTTTGGTTACTTTATTATGACTCTGTACTGTGGATAAGAAGATCAAGCTGCCAAAGGATATGACAAACATTTTCGGCCTGTTGAACATCGGTATTGATATGCCACCGTTCGGAACATCCGACACAACAGCTTGGAGTAATTATTTGTATTAGCCAGTTGAGAATCGCAGAGGCGTTTCAGCCAATTATAAGCGCTCGATGACCCAAATGACTCTACATATTGTACTTAATTATTTAGATTGTAATTTCCTTTGGATTTGTGAAATGTTTCAATGGTTCCCTCTTTTCTTTATTATTTTGGCTTTTTCAAATTTTATCAATAAAAGTATATTTTACATATTTTAATCCACTTTCTTTTTTATATGTAAAAATAAGCCTATTAAGTCGTGAATCAATGTACAGAAGAGTAAAAGCTCAGTTGCACACTTCAATATTTTTTGATGGAAAGAAACTACACGTGTGGTGACATTTTGCCGGAGATTTGTAGCTTCTCGGAATGGTAGAACGTGCAGCTTTTTAGGATGGGGTCAATATTTGCTGGCTTGAATTGCTCAGAAAGTTCTAAGTCCTCTTAATAATAAATACATTCTTAAGAATGTGCACTATGAGAAGATAAGAGCTCCAGTGTGAAATCAAATCAATTTTTGGCAGTATGAAGGACGGGTAAATTGATGTTGCGTATGTTTAGGCATCAACCATTTTCATTTAGAACTTTTTGAAGCGAAACGATGCTCAGAATCCCATTGTAGGCCAAACTCGCATCCTTACGTAGTAGCCGTATTCATTTTAGGATCCGTGCCGTTTATACCAGCAAGTCAAAATTCGGCATTCGTTTGCAAGAGGATGAAAGCTCAACCCTTGTACGGGCAGTGCGCTGCAGATGACTACAAAGTCTGTACCTCATTTATTAACTGTCTAATCATGTGTAAAATTTTCTCAAGGCTCTGTTATGCATACTTGGCAGTGCATTGCACATTTAAGCAGTGCATGTGAAACTTTGTGCTGATTATACTTCACACAGCACATACAATATTTCAAAATCAGCTGTTTGCAGCTTACATTAATTTTGCTATTATTTTGATCATTTCAAAATCATAAAATTTTCTCCAAAATCGCAGAGTAAGTGAAATATTAATGAAAATAACTTTAAATTAAATAAATATTATCGCTTGGCGCGCAATATCTATTAATCTGTTAAATGTAATACCACTTCCATAAGAAGAGATATCGAAATACAATATATTTTCACAGGAGTTAAATCGGCCAGGACATGGATGAATCATTTTTGGATTTGGTTTTCATTAATATTTGCCGACTTCAAAATAAGCGAAAACAATGCAGGCGGAATCG